ATTATAAATTATTATTTTCATATCTTATAATGTCCACTGTCTCCCTTCGCCTAGGTTTGTTGTTTGTCCCTCTCAAGAGGGGTTATACATTGATCATTGCAATAGATTTCCTCTTTCTCCCCTCATCTTCCCCCTACCCTCATGATATCACTACTCCCATTACTGCTCCTGAGGAGTTTATCTGTCCTGGATTCCATGTGTCGAGAGCTATTATCTGTACCAGTGTACATGCTTCTGGTCTAGCTGGATTTGTAAGGTAGAACTTGGGTCATGATAAAGAATTAGAGGATTGTTATGTTTCCTCAGAGCTATACTGTACCCTGGCTGACTCGTCACCCTTCTGTGAGGGGATGTCCAGGTTGCCTACAGATGGGCTTTGGGTCTCCACTCCACCCTCCTCATTCACATCGATATGATTGTTTTGGATCTTCTGATGCTTGATACCTGATCTCTTCGACACCTCGTGATCACACAGGCTGCTGTGCTTCTTCCATGTGGGCTTTGTTGCTTCCCTGCTAGATGGCCGCTTTTCTAATGTCAAGCCTTTAAGACCCCAGATGCTTTATCTTCTAATAGCTGGGCACCATCAGTTTTCTTCACCACATTTGCTTATGTACCCATTTTGACTTCAGCGATCGTGCCAGGAAGGTAAGCATCGCAGAATGCCAGGTTATTAGATCAAAGTGTCCTTGCATTGAGAGAGGACTTGAGTAGAGGTCCAGTGTCCATCTGCTACCTTGATACTTAACATAAATATTATGTACATAGGCCTATATCCCTATCATTAAAAAAATTTTTGAAACAATATTTACTCAACCAATAACCTGAATCTTGCCCTCTCAGCATTATTTTTTTGTTCCCCAAAGTCAACTTTTAAAAATACTATGGTTTAAGTCACTTGAGGGTGCCCAAATTGTCTCGATGTACAGAGCACAGAATTCTTCAGGGAAGGTCTAGAGATGGAAACACGGCCTTTAGAAGTATACAGACCTACAAGGAGAATATGTCGAGAAAGTAGCTTCACAGCTGAGGTTGGGGAAGGAAAAGGAGTCTGCAGGGCAAGACCAGGGCTGTAGGTTGGGTGGGATAAGGTTTCCCAACATAGGACAGCCCTTGCAGATGTCATGTTGTGATGGAAAAAATTCCTCGGTGCAACTTTCCGGGTCTTTTTGTCAAGAAGGTAGTTTTCCATTACCTAAGAACTTCATGAACACCTGTGTTCATCTTAGTGTCCTTTAGAAATGCTCTCAAGGTTGCTGTTCGGACTCACAAAAACCAGGTGCCATAAAATTCTGAGCTAACCTCTCTGCTTTGAATTTAATTGGCCCAGCAGATTCCCTCAAAAGTTATGCTTTTGAGTAGACCTCTCTCTGGATCATATCGGTAAACTCAAGCCTTGTCCCCAACTTCAGATCCCTTCCATAAGATTGTCTTACAAGACTAATAGAAAGATCAGCTCTTCGAGCTACCTGAGCATCCTTCAATGCTTTTGGCACTTATCTGCCCCCAAACTTGCCAAGGCCAAGATGTTTGCTTCAAGTTAAAAATATCACACCATGTGATACCCTAACTTCAGTAGCTAGTGCACCAATAGTAACTCTAGTCTTGGTTCACCAGTTTCTGGACTTGAGCCACAGTCTTTTCATTCATCAAAGTTGAAGGTCCTCCCTCTCTGGGCTCATCTCTGAGGTCGCCCTGACCTTCCAGGGAATGCTTTATCCCTCTAGACCAATGGTCCTCAATCTTCCTAATGCCGCAACCGTTCATCCAGTTCCTCATGCGGTGGTGACACCTCCAATCATCAAATTATTTCATTGCTACTTTATCACTGTAATTTTGCTACTGTTATGAATCAGGTGACTCCTGCGAAAGGGTCGTTTGACCCCCAAAGGGGTTGCGACCCACAGGTTGAGAACCGCTGACCTAAACCTTGTTTTATGTGGAACAACATTCCTCTCAATTTAATGCAAAGCTTCAATGAGAAGATGTTCACTTAAGATTCTACTCATAATTAGGGCTTAACTGAAGAAAAAATTGTTTTTCATGGCATAAAAAAGTATTTTTTCTTTGTTAGTATTCTAATGTATTTAAGACAAGTGTATGAGGGGGCTTCAACAAGTGTATGAGGGGGCTTCAAAACGTTTGTGGAACAATTTCTTTATGTTTTAATTTTCCCACAAACTTTTGGAAGCTCTAGCACTTTACTGAACCATCCCACTGATGGCAAGGACATGGTTCAACACGTTTTATGTGAAACAAATCATGTCCGTACGAATTGGACCCCACGAGGAGTACTTTTGGACTGTCCCTCATATGCAACTTCATGAGCAGAGTTCAAAGACTTTCTTCCTCCATTCTTCTAGTCCAAATTGTGTCAAACTGTAAAAAACTTATCATATGCAATGTGTTGTAGTTATCTTTTGACCCATTTTAAAGTTCCAGTTTTTAGTATTTTCTGCTTTCTTTTAGACTGAGGTTTTTCCGTGTTGTCTAGTCATTGTTGTTGGAGGTTTCTGTTTTGTTTTGGGTGGTGGGGTGTGTGTGTGCATGTGTCCCATTTGTTTTGTATGCTTTTCTGTATAAGAAACCCAGGCTAGGTAAATCTATAGGGATTACCATATATACTCGATTATAAGCCAAGTTTTTCAGCACATTTTTAATGCAGTTTTTGTGGTGAAATTAGGTGCCTTGGCTGATATTCGGGTCAGCTTATACTCAAGTACATACGGTAATCATGGCGTGGGAGGATGGGAAGGAAAGGGAAGCTAACAAGAAACTGTTCTGAAATTGGTTGTGGTGATAACTGTACAACTCTTAATATGATTGAATAATTCGATAACATGATATGTGAGGTGCCAGTAAAAGGAGTTTTTTCAAAAGAATGTATTCCCTCCGATTTTCCCATATTACTTTCCTCAGTTAAAATTTTATAATTTAGTTTTTATTCTATCTTAAATGCATTATTTTACGTTCTGAGATTGTTTCCTCTCATAATAGTTGTGCTGTCATCCTTGCTTTTATTTTACGGCCTCCTTTTCCTACCGAAAGCAAATGCTATGTTGAGCACGTATTAAGTTTCCACACACGCAGACACCTAGTTCTGGAATGCCAACTCAATTCCTCTCCCGCGCTTGTTCTTCTCACACTACATTATTTTGATTGTAGTTTTAACATCTTGTGGGGAAAAATTACTCTTATGATTCCCCACCTCACCCTGGAAAGAATCTTAGAAATTATTACCATTAGCTTGTTTTCACCTAAGTTTCAGTATAATTTTACCTGGTAACAAAGAACCCTTGGATGATCTGATGGGAACAGCTTTACATTCATGTACTAATCTATGAAGAACTGACACTCCTACTTTAGCCTGTATTTAAAATAAATACAAAATAGGGCCTCTCCCCATTAAAATATTTTGTTCTGTTATCCAGGTCTGGTAGTAAATTTCCAAATTATAGTGCGCATTTTAAAATGTTAGCTATTTTTCTGGCATTGTGTTTTCTAAATCTATATCAACATGTGCATTTATAAGCATGTTTTTATTTAGAACCCCTTCATATAAAGTTATGAAGCTTAGCCTTAAGATTTCCAAGTCACCAATATCATCCGCCCCATGGGTCCCTCGCGCATTCTGAGTTTCTCTGACATCCCAAATTCTAACTTTCCTCCCAGCCGCTGACCTTTGTTAAGTTATACCCCTGTGTCTGACAACTCTTCTGTTCGAACTCAGTTTAAATGTTATCTTTCCTAAAGGTTTTCTCTGACCTTTTAAAAAAGTTTTAGATTTTTTCCCCCACAGTACCCTGCTAGTGTACGATGTCCTAAGTACAATTTATCTAAAATGGTGACCCCGCTACTTTTCAGGAAGTCTATCAACTTGTTGTGCACGTATCAGTGCCTCGCAGATCTGACAGATGTACTGGCTCAAAAAATTATGCAAATGGAATAATCTATGAAAAAGATTGAGTTATACCTGAAGAACCAAACCTCTGACCAATCTAATGAGCAAAGTGTTTGTCTTTAAAAAACAGGGAATACTGTGTTTTAAAAGTCTCAGAGAACGGATTCTTTATATCTGCTTCTAAGCCAGTGAACATTCCTAATGCCGCGACCCTTTAATACAGTTCGTCATGTTGTGATGAGCCCCCAACCACCAAATTGTTTTTGTTGCTACTTCACAACTGTAATGTTGCTACTGTTATGAGTCATCATGTAAATATCAGATATGCAGGATATATTGTCAGTGTTACAAATTGGACATAATTAAAGCATCGTGATTAATCACAAAAACAATATGTAATTATATATTATGAAATGAAATTTTGTCATTCACCATGGGTAACAGTCTTCACACCGGGTACTCGTATGCAGGCGTATCTGCATGGGGTCGGACCCGCCTGGAGACAGGATAGAGGAGCGGTGTCTTGGTTCCTAAGGCAATGGGAAATATATGTTTTCCAATGGTCTTAGGCGCAACCCCTGAGAGGGTTGTTCAACCCCCAAAGGGGCCGGGACCCAAAGATTGAGAACTGCTGTTCTACGCCATTAATAAAAAAATACAATAATGACACTATCAATAATCCAATGCTAATAAGCCAAAAAGAATGTAAACTTTAAAAAAAAGCTTACTTCTTGTTAACTTTTGTTTTGGGTAACTAAAGTTCAAGTAGGGAAAGGAAAGAGTAAGAAGAAATAAAATCTCATTTGTTTCCATCAGAATCTATTTTATTTTTCTCTACAAGGCATTACTGAGCAGAGTTAGTTTGCAAGTTGTATTTTTTATCTATTGAGTTCAACAAGACTGCTGCCAATTTAGAATTGTCTTGAACCAAGTATTAATAAAATGATGTCCAGTGAAAAGTGAAAGATTTTACCAAGATTGTTTTTGATCATTCTTCCCTTTATCCTCACATCCAAAATACTTCAGGAACAAAGATCCTTCATGTCAGTATTATTAAACATTACTTTTCTTACCAGAATAAATACACAATACACAAGTGTACTAGAAATATTTGGTTCTTTTTAATCAGCTATCGATGGTATAATAAAATAAATTTAAGTGGCACCTAATTTAAACATTTCATTGAAGGATAATCTACAACACAATATGTTATGCCTAATGGTCAAAATAATTCCTCCCCCTGCCCAAGGGGGAGATATAAAAGGCATGATCAACATTATGATAAACAAGTTAGGTTCATTGGACATTTACAGATGATTTTATAGGCAGGTGAGCAGGCAAAATGTTGAAAAATTAATCCAATGTGTTTAGGAATAATGGTAAAATAAAAAAGGAAAGACAAACAATACTATATGAAATTAAAGAAAAATATCTAACAAATATCACAATTGATCTTTTAATGACTTTAAAAAATAACATTAAGACATTTTTTTTGGAAAAAACAGATGTTTTAAAGGACACCATTTTTTGAACAGAATGAAATGTTCAGTGTGTTAAATAATTTACAGAGATAACTAAGTTCTGTATTCTGTACACATTAAAGGACTGTATCCCCTCTCCGCTCAAAGGTCAATTTTGCAATGGTCTCACCAGAAAATAAGTTCACAACTTGAACAGAATTTATAGCACTACAAAAGTTTACAGAACCCCTGTCCTTTAATGTTTCCTAACAGCAAAAATTATACTGACAAAATTGAACGATCAGAATGTAAAACTGTGTGCAAAACTGCAGTAATTGTTATTACCATATAAGAGTAAAACTTAAGAACACACAAATGCCAATAATTAAACACTACATTGAAAATAGCTCTACTTGAGATTTCGAATATGAACTCTCCCGTGGCTGCACGTGAACAGGGAACGTGGCACCATGAGCAGCAGGCGCGACAGAGGACTCGACAACGATGCCAGAGGAGGAAAGCTGACCCTGGAATGCGCCAGTTTACTTCCAAGACAGCCATCCATCCTAAAACACTGGAAACAACTGCACAGCCACAACTCACGTCAGTGTCTTTATTCTTGAATTTGCAGGCCATAAATGAAATGTTTACCAAAGTTATTCCCCCCTCTCCAGGAGTGTTTCTTGTGTCACTGAGAATCCTTAAAAGAGTTGAATCATAGACTCTCTGGATTTACCTACACCGATCCACTTAACTGGAAAACAAACAAAAAACAAGTGTAAGTTCATTTATAATGTCCAATCTTTGAGATTAAGAGGTCACCATTTAAACGCTCTGTCCATGCGAAGGAGCCATGGTGGCGTAATGGTCATTCATTTGGCTGGGATCCACAGGCCAACAGTTCAAAATCAACTACTCCCATAAACGTTGACAGTTCTACCCTGTCCTGTAGGCTGTGAGTTGGCTTTGACTCGATGGCAAGGAGCGTGATGGGGTTTTCTCCATACTAAGTAGACTAAGTAGGTAAGACAGAGCACAGGATAATTACCCGATTTAATTGCATAATATCTACAATTTCTTAATTCCTAATAAGGACAACAATACTGTATTAGCTGAAACTAGCAGAGCCTTAAACTTTAATAAAGTTTCAGATAACTCAGGGGTGGGGAAAATGTCCTTGTAACTTTTACATCTCAAAAGTGAAAATACATAAACCAAGAAACCAAACTCACTGCCATCGAGTCAATTCTGACTCCTAGCAACCCTATATATATAGAAGAGAGTATTATTATTATTTATTAAAAGATCACTTTACAGGGGACTCTTACAACTCTTGTTACAATCCATACATGGATTGCATCAGGCATGTATCGTTCATATATTGCCTTCATTCTTTTCAAAACATTAATTTTCTATTGAGCCCTTGGTATCAGCTCCCCTTTTTTTCCTTTCCCCCTCCCCCCACCCTCATACCCCTTGATAGATTATAAATTACTAATTTCATATCCTACACCAACCACTGTCTCCCTCACCCCGTGTTTTCTGTTGTTCTTCCCCCTGGAGAGGGGTGTATGGTTATGTGCAGATCACTGCAATCGGTTCCCCCTTTCTCCCTTCCTCGCCCCACCTTTCTCCCTGTCCTTCTGGTATCGCTATTCCCACTCCTGTTCCTGGATTCTGTGTGTCATGAGCCCCCATCTCTCATCTATACCTGTGTACATGCTCTGGTCATACTAGACAAGAGTATTATTTTACACGGTACAGCCTTCAGCATTGCCACTGGACTAGCCTATGGGACTCTTTAATCATCTGCATCCTGTGCTTTTAGATTATTCTCATGTAATTACTGGGTTAGTAACTGGGATACTTTACAGAAGTCATTGCTAGTCTCATTGAAGCGTATGTTTTAAAAATGTTGCGGAAGCATCGTGACCAAATAAGCTTACTGAATTGAGCAGCAGTCTGGAAGAGGCCACTAGTACCACAGAAAACAAGACACATGGTTGAAATGACCATCGAACAAACTTAGAGTCTGTACATAGCAGATTATATGTGGAAGACAGCTCCCACCAGTGTCACTTTTTCTTGTCTTTCAAATTTCCAGCATGAAAATAAAAGGAATCTCTCAGAAATACTTTATATGCCTAATAATTAACCATAAGGTGGTTATGCCTGGCCATCTTATGTCTAGTTTGTTGTTTTTTAAAGACATTCATCAATCCTTCATTTCTTTCTTAAATGAGACTTCTTGCTTTATGTATGTATTATTTCCTAATGTCTAATCAACACACTCCCCTCCATTTATTCTCCAGGGTTGTTTAACCCAAATGAAAAGTCATTCTGGGTGATGGTGATAATACAGAAGGACGCGTTCTTAAAAGAAAAAAGGAATCTGTACGAATGTCTTAGAGCTAGAAACCAACTAACAAGACTAAAGGCAGGGCCACGGTGGTCAGACGTGATCTATTATCTGCATACATGTGAAGGATTACTTAAAGATGAATAATAACTTATTTATGCCAAGGAGTGCAATTTTCTAAGTCTCCCTAGGCATCCATGCACATTGTGAGCACTCTATAAATGTAATAATGATAGTTTAAGTCACAAATAGAAAAAGTAAAGATATCTTGTTCATTAAATGTTTCAATTTACCTGGAATTTGAAGCTCATCCTCAATAAAGCGAACATAATTTTGTGCATTAACAGGTAGCTCTTTAAATGTCCTTGCATTTGATATGTCCGTGTTCCATCCTGGGAGAGTCTTATACTGAACTTCAACTTTATTTAAAACTTCTTGGTTTGCTGAAAGTAAAGAGTAAGAATATTTACTCATTGTACACAATGCCTATTATTAAAAAAAATAATTTTTTTGCTTTTAAAATATATCACAGGTTCATATTCTCATAAAAATCCTTGGAGCCAAACAAATTTAGAAGTTTTCAGATTTTAGAAAGGTAAAACAAAACATGACATCTGAAGTAATAGCAACACACTGATTTTTCAGTATTTAGGTAAAGATTATGTAGCTCTAACAATAGTTCAAGATAGGTTTTCCTGTCAAAGGAGTTTTGGTGTTGAACTTTATGAAAACTCTAAATATTTGGAGCTTCTTAAAGATTCTATATTATGGGTAAGTGATTGGAGAAAACTGTATGATATTACCAACTTCACAGAAAGGCTTGCACACCGTTAATCTAAGAAACATATGCGTCTATGGCTGTGTACAAAAGCATAGCTGGAAATTTTCTGCATTATTCCACCTAATTCTTCTTTCTGTACTCCCAAATAAAAATTAAAATTGAAATAAAAAACAGACCTTTGACTAGAGCAAGTATATGGCCTCCCAGATTTCCCTCTGCAAGATGCAGACACCCATTCCCTGGAAGCACTGCCTGCTGTCTACGGACAGTCTAGAATCTTCCCCTGAACTGTCCTGCACTGCAGAGAGCTGCCTCATGTAGCAGTCCACAACCAATATGAACATGAGGACACAAAGGACCTGGCATTCACCTTAATTCAGGGCACCTCAGGGCCTCCTGCTTCCAGAGTCCCCATGGGATCATCTGAGGGCTTTTATTGTAACTACATTGCAGTTCAACAACTTCTATCACTCGCTCAAAGATACTGTTGCTCAGAACACTCACCAACAAACATCCTGTCTGCAAATCTCCCTCTTACAGTCCATTTCCCCAGGAAACGCAATTTAAAGGCAGTTGGGCCATAATTGGTCTAAGGGAGATGATCTTTTCCTAGAAAGTTTGTAGAGCTGGACACTGACCAGCTCAGCTGGAAATGAGTATAGAAAGGCCCCTGGCATACTGTACAATTATTGAAGACCTTCCTGAGTGAGGAGCTGAGAGGCCATGCTGCTGGAAGTCTAAGCACCAGAATGTCTTTACCTGTCAGCTACGGCTAAGTCAATTCTGACTCACGGTGACCACATATGTGTCAGAGTAGAACTGCGCTCCATAGTTTTCGATGGCTTCATTTTTGACAGTAGACTGCCAGGCCTTTCTGCCAACAAACCCTTAGAACAGCTAACCTTTTAACTACCAAGCACCTTATCCAGCGTGCAGCACTCATTTACTCACTCTGGCAGTATCGCAGGCAAGAACAACAGAATATTGGAACTGGATGGCTTTTGCCACATTCCACGCTTGTAGAGAAACACACTGAAAGCTAAAAGGTGATTTATCACAAGTTTAAGACAAAGTGTGAAAGTCAGAGAGCCAAATCTTATCTGCTACAGCAAAGGACCATGAGTCAGATAATCAGGCGCAGGGCTGAATTACACAAAATCAAAAGCCAGGAAAAACCAACTTCTCAAGCCCAGCGTATCTGCTATGACCAGGCCAAAGCCCTGTGGGGAAAGAAAGGGGCGCTGAGACTTCGGAGGCGGATATATCGGGGCTGACAACTTGAAAATCTTGATCCCTAGCCTTGGAGCGCTGCGTGGCTTGCAGACAGCCTGTTACACTTCCTATGCAAAGCCACGCCCTTCCCTTGCTTAAAGACCACGCAGAGGCTTCTGCCTTTGAAGATCCTGTTTTCCCCTCCAGATCTACTCTATGCCCTACTGGCCAGCAGCTAAGGGAGGAAAGGGGCTGTGTTAGGCTGGGTCGACTAGAGAAACAAATCCAGTGACACTAATACTTGTGGAAGAAAGAGCTTTATATCACGAAGTAATTATATATCAAGAAGCATCCCAGCCTAGTCCGACTCCACTCCATAAGTCCAATATTAATTCATAAATAATTAGATATCAAGAAGCATCCCAGCCTAGTCCAACTCCACTCCACAGTCCAATATTAACTCATAAATCCCTCTTTAGACTCACGCAGCCACATGCAGTGATGCAGAATGCAGGTACATCACAGGCCAGTGGGTGGAGTCATGTGGATCCAAGGTAGGTTGAAATAGGGCAGGGCATATTTGAGCAGTTCTCAGGATGGCCCCAAGAGTCTCAGTAAGCAAGAAGGTTAAGCAGAGGGTTAAGTAGGTTCCCAGGCTGGGACCTGACTGACAGGTGTGACTCCACCCTTAGCCAATAGTATCCAGCTGACATAAAATGATCTAAATACCACAGGGAGTATATCCTGAAGGATCTGCAAGACCGAGCCAACATACTTGAGTGCATATTGATCAAAGGAAACGAACTGGATCCTGATCCTGAAGGTGCTGGTCAGAGTGGTGGAACATGAAGTTGAATAAGAGAATACTGGGTTTCTATTTGAGCCCTTGGTATCAGCGCCTCGTGACTCCTTGATAAATTATACATTATTATTGTTCCATATCTTACAGACCGGTCTCCCTTCCCCAACACAGTTTCTGTTGTTCATCCCCTGGGATGGTGGTGATGGTGATGGTGGTAATGTGTCAATCATTGCTATCGGTTCCCGTTCCTCCCCTCCTCTCCCCACCTTCCCCCTACCTTCTTGATATTTCTACTCCCATTTCTGTTCCTGGATTCAGTGTCGTGAGCTCTTATCTCTTATCTGTACCTGTGTACATGCTCCAGTCTTGCCAGAACTGAAAGGTAGGACTGGGGTCATGATAGTGGGGGTAAGGAAGCCTCAAGGAACCAAAGGAATATCGTTTGTTTCATCGGCTCTATACTGCACCCTGGATGACTCATTCCCTCCTTGGGACTCTTCTGTGAGGAGGATACCCCATTGTCTAGAGATGGGTTTTGGGTCTCTGCTCAGACCTCCCTTGTTCTCAACGATATGTTTTATTTGTTTGGTCAACACCTCATGATCTCACAGGCTGGTGTGCTTCTTCCATGTGGGCTTGCTGCTTCTCTGCTAGATGCCCACGTATTTAACTTCAAGCCTTTAAGACCCCAGATGCTATATCTTTTGATAGCTGGAAACCGTCAGCTTTCTTCACCACATTTGCTTAGGCATTCTGTCTTCAGCGATCATGCTGGGAGAGCGAGCATCACTGAACGCCAGGTTGTAAGAAAAGAGTGTTCTTGCATCGAGGCAGGGCTTGAAAAGAGGCCCAAAGTCCGTCACTACCTCAGTGTACTGCCATATAAATATATGTACATAGGCCAATACCTCTATTTTTATGAATTAATGTATTTGCACATGTACACACCTGTGTTTATACTTCTATTCATAGCTTTGCCTCCTAGATCTTTCCTATATTCTTTGACCTTCCTCCTACCCCACCATCATGCTCAGCCTTCTTTTGCCTCTTAGTAATTCCTCTCAGCTAGACTGCTGCTGTGCTCCCTCACCCCAGGATCTCTTCCAGTGGCTTTCTCCTCCAGCATCTTCCCATGCCTCTCTCTTAATTTTCTGGTCTAACAGCAGGAGCACCAGGCAGATGATTCTACCTGGATGTCATCTTGACTCCTCTCCCCCAGAAATTATTAATGGTCAGAAAAATCAAGCAACAAATTCACATGGGAGCATCCAAGAGGAACTCTACCAAAACGCTAGAGACGGCACCAGTGAGAAGGTGAAAACTCAGTGATGTCCTCCTCAAAACCTGAGGTCTGATGAAAGATGTTGTTAGATAATTGAGAGGCCTAAAGCAATGGGGATAATAGGATCCCCAAATAATACAAACCCAAAGGCTGCACATAATGTTCAGAAGCAAGAGGAATTATCATTATGAGTGGCAAAGTCAGAGCAGCGGTCAAGAAGCCCTGCCTGATCATCAGAAATAAGGAGATGGTACTGAGATCAAAACTCAAAAACCTCACTGCCATTGAGTCATTTCTGAGTCAAAAAGACCCTACAGGGCAGAGAAGAACTGGCCTTGTGGGTTTCCAAGACTAACTCTGCATGAGAGCAGAAAGCCTCAACTTTCTACCATTGAGCAGCTGACAGTTTTGAACTGCTGACCATGTGGTTAGCAGCCAAAAAATGACTTGTTGATCACTGTTGCTATCAAGTCAATTTTGACTAAGAGAGACACCGGATCAGAGAAGAAATGCCCGACAGTGTTTTCACGGCTGTAATCTATACATAAGTAGACTGCCACAAATCCCTCCCAAGGAGCAGCTGGTAGATTTGAACTGCTGACCTTTCAGTTAGCACCAAAGTTCTTACCCACTGCACCACAAAGGCTCCATAAGCAGCCAATAAGGGTATTAATCTATATACTAAAATAGACCAAAGATGGATTATCAGAGGCCAAGGGGAACTGCAGTGACCACTTGCCCAATTTCTAGGCTTGAACCAGTTAGGACATATGGAAATCAGTGTCGGAGAGGTCAGGTCCACAGTAGTACTCTACCTCCTCCTCTACCCTGGCTACAGTGGTGACTTCTTTCTTTCCATCCTGGTTTTGCCACATTGAATCCAGCAATGACAAAGCAAAAAAGAGAACCTTGTTTCTACATCTTCACTTTGCTAGCAGCAGCATGGGCTATCATTCTATCACTAACCAATCTTTTGTAATTTTTCCTAGGAAAGAGACTGCCTGGAACACTGCAGAAGTTATTCCCAGAGTGGAGCTGGGCAACTTATTTTACAACGTAAGTAAATCTAAACAGCACAGTGGACGTCCTCAGTGGACGTCCTTTCCCTGTGGTACGGTGCCCACATTGTCCTCTCTGAGGCGGCCACACTCCCAGCCCAAGCAGGCAGGGAGTGATGCATGTTGATGACTCACAACTCTGCCCCTCCCCAAACTGCTCTTGGCTAAAGGGCAAGGCACAGCCCTCCTTCGATAACTGCCTGGCTGATGAGAGGCACAGAGTCCTGGCCACTTGCCTCAATTACTCACTCACTTATTGACACTGGGTCAGTAAACTATAAAGGTAACGGCTCCCCATTGGATGGTCTATACTTCATTACAACCACTCGGTATTTGCAAACAATCCCTATTTCTGAGAGATGGTAACATTTATGGAAATTTGAGTAACTGAAAAAAATCATATAAACTATATCCAGGTTTGAAAACACACATGCCTTAAGTAGAAGTAGGCCCCTCTCGTCTGGACACAGGATACATGTCAAAGAAAACCATCTGTGTGGCTTGAAGGAAAGTGTTGGTCAATGTATTGAGTGCCTGCTCACCATTTCCAGTCGGGCTCTTTCCTACTACTCATTTCCCCCAGAAAGAGATGCCCACACAGAAATTACTGGGCAGGACAGCAAGGAATACTTCTTTTTTCGTATTATGAGCTTGAGCACATGCTAGCAATGCAAGCAACTGGGAAACAAATGCTAACAAGTCAGTATGCGTGCGCCATCTATATGGGTTTCTCAAGTCTTTAGCTAAATGCCATAAATTATAAAGGTGAATGTCATGAAATTATTATATTGTATTTCCTTTATAATATTCTATATACATAGCCACATGAACGAATACCTGGGAAATGAGGTATGATTTCACCATCTAACTTGTAAGCAACTCCAACTTTGATTTCTGTAAACATGTCCAAAATATCCAACTTGGTAAGTGCCAACCTAATTTTGGGAGAAAGGGCAGTGTTAACACAGCAAACTTATTAAGGACTTAATATGAGAAGGATTTTACAGGAAAGCGCATAAAAAAACTAAAAGTTCCCAAGCATGTCTGAAAATGGATTAGGATTATATTTTAAAGCATGCCACATAAAAAAATCTCTAGTGAACAACATACCGACATACAGTCTTCATAATGTTTGTTTGTTTTTAAAAAAAGCTAACTGACCTACCACTGAGTTAAGTTACTTTTCTAACAACTATAACAAAGTTTCTGCTGATTAATCCACACACTCTTGTTTAGCTTTCCATGATGGACCACAAGCACAGTCACGTGTGAAGGCTGCCTGGAGTTAGATGCAAAAGGATTTGGCTGTGAAGCATAGCAACACTCACTGTTCCACATGGATGAGAGTTCACGAGATCTATACATATTTAAAAACATGCCATTCCCCTCCTGTCTTCACTCTAGTTACCAACACTTCCATTCCACCCTTCCAGGCAGAAACTGTCAAAGGAAACCACATCAAAGACCTCTTCATGACACTTCAAGATCTCCCGAAAACCTGACTGGAAAACAAGGTTTTTAGGGAAAATCTGTAGAAATTAGATAAGATACTAGGTTTGAGATTTTTGACCAGAAATTAATTTTTACCCTTTAGTTTCATTACTAGCTAAACATTAATAAACTACTCGATACAGCTAGCACTATATTTATGTTAATAACTAATTTTTCTGGGCATTTTCAGTGTGCCGGATAGTTTGCTACGTATGCTTTCACTCCATTTCTCAAATCCCCTGTGTGGCGAATCTCTTGATTTTAACGATGATAGAACTGAGAACGGGGAGATTAACTTGCTCCAAGTAACACAGGCATACTGCATGAACCTGAGCTTTCAGTTAGGGGAGTTAAGACACATCAAGGCATATGCTCAAAGCATTACTGCCTATACTGCCTTCCTGGATTCTCTAAGAAGATAACCTGAGCCCCTCAAATTAGTTACCCTCCCACCACATCTTAGGGTCCATTTCAATTGGACCTAAAATTTTTGCTTAAAGGATACAAAGCAGTGTTTTTCAATTTGGCCATTATCTCAAGTCTCACCCCACAAAATTAAACTGGGCTCATTAACAGTCTATTAGTTCTTGAGATAAATGTCTGTGCAGAGTACTCACGCAGTGAAGCCATTAATCATGTGAGCGTATTTAAGCAAAACAAGGTCCAACCAGCCACATCTTCGCTTCCTTCCAGTAGTTGCACCAAACTCTCTACCCCTTGTTTGAAGTAATTCTCCAATTTCCTAGGAAATAGAAAACAGAAACTGGGTTTTAACGCCAGTGTTATAAACCTACTGAAATGATACTGAGAACCACAGACACAGTTTAAAGTCGCCGTAAGGATCTCTGATGATGGTGCAAATGGCGCACATGGTGCAAAGGTCAGCAGTCCGAATCCAGTAGCAACGTGGAGAAAGGCAGCCTGCATTTCTTCAGATGTACAGTCTGGGAAACCCTCGGGCAATCCTGCTCTGCCCAGTAAGGCAGCTCTGAGTTGGAATCCAGCCTTTTTAAAATGGACATCAGAAGATAACCAAGTACCTCCAGTTGTCATGACGATTCTTTCTTTCGGTCAGGGAAAGACCAACAGTCGCCCCACGGACGGCTGCTCCCCAGCTCCCAAGATCTCAGCTGTTCGTCGCCAAGCAGGATGTCGAGCATTGTCGGTGCAGACCACGTTATGCCAGTGAACTTCGGTGTCCCTGAGACTATGGCCTCAGTTCCCAGGCCCAGCAACTCCTTCCCTCGAGGTGTTTGGTTAAGCCCTAATCTTGTCCTCATGTTATCTACCACATTCCTGGATATATTTGCAGCAAGACTAAATGCCCATGGGAACATATGTGTCCACAAGCATGAGACCAGAAAAGCTAGATGGTACCTCACTACTAATACCAACTGCTCTGAAAGGGACCATAATAGAAAATCATGGATAAAGCAAAATGTGAAACAAACCTCATAACCATCAATGACTGGTAGAATCTGAGACAATAGTGTGGTGGTTACATTATTTTGTGTCAACTTGAAGATATAACAGTGTAGGGGTGGAGTCTAGTCTGTCAATCAGATCACAGCCTCGTGGTGCCTTTTTGTGGGTGTGACCTTCTCATAACAAGGGTTCTAGGAACCTCCTCTCTCTCTCTCTGCCTTCACCTTCCTGTGGCAAGGCACTCTAAGACCTGTGGAGTCCTGGAGATGTCTCCACCACCATTGGACCCACAAGACTTTGCACCCACTGGCCTGTTGTCTTCCGGCATTCTGCATCATTGCATGTGGCTGTGAGTCTGAAGAGGGACTTATGAACTAGTATCAGACTTATGGACTTGAGTTGGACTGGACTGGGATGTTTTCCTGATACATGCAATTACTCTTTGATATAAAGCTCCCTCTTACACATATATAGGTGTCACTGGATTTGTTTCTCCAGTCAGCCGGCCTAACTCAAATAGTCTTTAGTTACCTTTCAGGTTTAGAACTAAAGTACTCCCATGGCTCAATTTCAGTCAAACAACAGACAAGTCTAGAGTAGAAAAATAAGCCTGGGGAGGTATTTGCATCTTAGATTAATTAGCTATTTAGGATCAAAAGGGCACTATTTGCCTAAAGACAAAATTCAGAAAGCACAGTAGAGGAGGAATGGAAACAGAACCATAAAGAGGAAATGGGATGAGATGCTTCCTTGTGAGGACTGCAGTCAATGAGATGGAACAAAATATTCTCTTGAATGAAAAACTTATCTATTCTGTAAGCCTTTACCCAATTTACAATAAAGAGAAAAAAGAGTGGGGGCAGTGGTAGGATGACTAAAATACAAGTTAAAGACAGAATTCCACAGAGACAATATGTTTACTATGAGGAAGGCAATTATTAGAATGGATCCTTTTGAGCTCTTATTTTTCACTAAAGATTTTTTACATATTGTTGGCAATTTTCTAGAACTTAGATATTAAAAGTTAAGAAGTTGTTAAAATAAATAAAAAATTTCTGTAACAACTAGTTTTTCTTGAAATTCTTAAGGTAAATCCATACCTAACAAGTAGTTAATACAAACTGTTTGCACTCACCTATTAACTGAAAAAAGTGCTGATGACATAGTGGTTATGCATTAGCCTGTTAACCACAAGGCCAGCAGTTCGAAACCACCAGATGCTCCTCAAGAGAAAGACAAGGCTTTTTATCCTCAGAAAGAGTTACAGTCCAGGAAACCCCCAGAGGCAGCTCTACCCTGTCCTACAGGGTTGCTGACTTGAAACTGACTTGGTTGCAGATAATTTTTTTTTTTTAATTATTAACGAAAAGGTTGGCAGTTTGAACCCACTCGGCTGCACTGAGAAAGGTTGCCCATTCCCTCACAGAAGGGTCACATGGAAGGGACGAGTCATCCAGGGTGCACTAAAGCACTGACGAAACACACATTTCTCTAGTTCTTTAATGCTTCCTCCCCCCACTATCATGACCCCAGTTCTACCTCACAAATCCTGCTAGACTGGAATATGTACAATGGTACAGAGAAGTGCTTTCAACACATGGAATCCAGTACAGACAAACCCCTCAGAAACAGTAACGGGAGTCGCATTACCATGAGAGTATTGGGGGAAGGAGAGGGGCGGGCTGATAGTAATGATGGATGTACAACCATCCCAAGGGGGACGAATAACAGACATCTGGGTGAAGGGATACCATGGATGGTGTACGATATGAAAAAATAATAATATATAATTTATTAAGGGTTCATGAGCATGAAAGGGTAGAGGAGGGAGGGAAAAAAAGAGGAACTGGTATCAAAGGGCTCAAGTAAAAAGACAATGTTTTGAAAATGATAATGGTAACATATGCACAAGTTCACTTGATATAATTGATTTATGGATTGTTATAATATCTGTATGTAAATGGGTACATAAGCTAATGTGGTGAAGAAAGCGGATGGTGCCTGGCTGTTACAAGGTATAGCGTCTGGGGTCTTGAAGGCTTCAAGTTAAACAAGTGGCCATCTAGCAAGGAAGCAACAAAGTCTACATGGAAGAAGCACACCAACCCATGTGATCATGAGGTATTGACGGGATGGGTATCAGACATCTGAAGACCCAAAACAAACAACCTTTTCGATGTGACTGAGGGGACGCCCATCTGTAGACAATTGGACATCCCTCACAGAAGGGTCCCAGGATTGGACAAGCCAGCCAGAGTGGAGCACAGCACCAACAAAACACAGCATTCCTTTAGTTTTTTAATGCTTTCCCCTCCACTATCATGACCCTAGACCAGAGCATGTACACTGGTACAGATAAGAGCTCTCAACATTCAGAATCCAGGACAGATAGAACCCCCAGGACCAATAATGAGAATAGTGATACCATGAGAGTAGGGGGAAGGTAGAGGGGAGAAGGGGGAGAATGGGGAAACTGATCACAATGATTGACTCCCCCCAGTCCCCAGGGGAATGAACAACAGAAACGGGTGAAGGGAGACAGCGGATGATGTAAAATATGAAAATAAAAATAATTTATAAATCACCAAGGGTTCATGAGAATGTGAGGGTGGGAGAGGGAGGGGAGAAAAGGAGCTGATACCAAGGGCTCAAGTAGAAAGAAAATGTTTTGGAAATGATGATGGCAACACATGTACAAATGTGCTTGATACAACTGATATATGGATTGTTATAAGAGCTCTAAGAGCCCTCAATAAAATGATCTTTTAATCACAAAAATTTTTTTAAAAGAAAGGTCTGTCAATCTTACTTCTGTAAAGAGTATGTTTAGAAAAAATTCTATGGGTCTCGGTTACATACTGTAGTATGTGAATTGGAACTGACTCAATGGCAATAAGTTTGATTTGGATTTCTGGAGCTCACAATGCCCATTTGAACAGAATTAAAAAGGTCGAAAAATGGTTGAAAGATCTAGACAATGAATATGGAACACCAGAGAAGAAATGGAGTATTTAAATTATGGAGTTTACAAAGAATATTACAAGGATCATAAACTGTCAGAACACACGAGTCTGCTTTAAAAGAAATACAGCTGGCACGCTCCTTGGAAGGGAAGATGGTAATCCTTCGTCTCACATATTTTGAGCAGGAGAGACCACACCAGAAAAGGACATCATGCTTGGTAAGGCCAGGGAACACGAGGACGCTCCCTCCCCTCCGCCACAAGATGAATTAACACTGGCTGGAGCAAAACAGCCGAGAAGACTGAGGAGAAACGGGCAGCGCTCTGCTCCGTTGTACATAGGTAGCTAGGAGTCAGAACTGACTTGAAGACACCCAAGTGCAACAGATACATATACACGCACATACCGATTTAAAACAATCTGACTCTGATCAACTCAGAAATAAGGACGAAAATGCACGCTACAAGAATCATGTAAAGAAAAAAAAGATACATTTTACTACTTCTTGAATCACGGTTGTTAAGAAGCTTACATTGTCTTGCTCTGTAGGAAAGGCACCAATCCCAACTCTCGTGGTGTACGCTTTCAGAACGCCGTACACTTCTCCCACGTTTTGAGGCGGCATACCTAAGCCGGTGCAAACACCCCCAACAGTACAGTTTGAAGAGGTGACGAAAGGATAAGTTCCTAAAATTAGAAACAAACATTAAAATGTAAGCTCACACATTATTTTAAAACAAACGACTAGTAAAACTCTGCATTTGTGTATATTCTAGATATTTGACAGACTGGGGCACAATTGTAATTGCCCTCTCAAAATCCCAATTATTTTTGTCTGTAGAAAGATAACAATATAGGTGTCTATAGCTATGATTGAAATGCTTCTATTGAAGAAGGCCCTAGAGCAGGGGTGGAGAATGTCTGGCCTTTGGGAACATAAGGCCTCTAAAATCATCAATACCAGCTAACATCACACACCTCACCAAAGAGAAGCAATTCCAGCCATCACGTTAGGGGTGAGTAAAGTAAATGTTTGGCTAGCATGGCCTATAAATGATGTTATAAATATCCAAATGGCCCGTGGCAGAAAAAAGGTTCCCCACCCCTCTCCTAGAATGTAAGCACAATTACTGATTTTGCTTTGTAGGCTTGGTTCTCAACTAATGGACTGATAATTTCATAACCCTGGAATTATTTCTTTAAATAGAATTATAATCAATGTATTGCAATTTATAAAAATTTCCTTTTGATTTCTAATTTGAATATTTAAGGTACAGGGGCCGCCTAGAGTGACTGTTATATACCAAGAATTTTGGTATTTAGCACTTTGCCAGCCTTTGGGTTCTATACAGCAAACAGTCTCAAAACCACTTTAATTAACATGGCATATCATCCCCCCAAAAGATTCTCTATGCTTCCCCCCCCCCACACCATTTTATTAGGAGCTAATCCAGACATCATACCATTCCACAGTTCAATCACATCAAGCAGTACTACAGAATTGCTACAAAGATTCTCTTTATACTTAGCTATTTACTCTGCTAATTAGACACTTAGTTTTCTTTCCAGATTGGATAAGCATATTATATCAAAAAATATATATAATGACATAGATATTTATATATAATATAGATATAATCTATATATTTAATTGGAATCTTGTGTTCAAAAGCTAATGAAATGCCAACCACCCTTTCTTGACAGAGACGGAATGGTCAGGAAGCCAATGGGGCAACCGTTTGAAGAAGTTCAGCCTTCACGCTTGGATGATAAAGGAAAGGCTCCAAAATCTACCTGGAGAGTCTCACACCTGGGAGTTAAACAGGCTTTCATAATTTTAGAAGATGAATGTTTTAATAGTAGTGTATATTAGAGCCCCGAGGTTAAAATACAAAGGATGAATTCAAGTGTATCCTTCCACAGGGCTCACCAGACAGGGAGACAAACCCTAGAACGGAACGATGAACTAAGCAATGAAAATTACTATCTCCTATCGTGATACCATGTACTCTGCTGGGACTGTGTTGAGCATTTACTACTTCTAAAAGACTCTTCGTGGCTTGAAAACCAGTTTATATGGGCTTTTCAGATGTATTCAGTGAAACTAACTACAGAAACCACTGTAAACTTCCCATATCACGACCAATGAAAACATCATATAGACTGGGATAGAGGGGTGGAGTAAAAGGGAGACAATGTCCATGAAGAAAAAGAATGTTTGGAAACTGATGTTATGGTAGCAATTGTACAATTCTCCTTGATGTGACTTAACTATGGAATACTATATGTGTTAACTCCCAATAAATAAATAAAATGAGGGCAGAGTAGGTACAGCAAAAAAAAAAGTTTCAACTCTTTATTGATCACTTCATGTTCATGGTGTGAAACCGTATGAAAGACTGAATCATCAGAAAAGGGAACAGATAAATTCAAATGTTATAAAAATAAATGATTTGCCATGCTAATTGTCTGATCCTAATATAAATAGAAAAAGCATTTGTTACCACATAGTTTTGTTTGTTGCATACATCACACCGAGTATATATGGTGAGGTAAAAAATTTTTCACGATAACTACTGAATACATAGGAGTTCTGCGATACCCCACCAAACTTTAGCATTTTCATCAACACATGAAACATAAAGATGAAAATATAGATATATATTACATATATTTTTAAAATTACAATTTTAAGAACCCCAAACCTAGTAAAACCAAATGATTTAACTATTCTATGAACTACAAAATTCAATACACATAATATGCTTCTTTCAGTATTCCTTCAAAACTAGATGGGCATAATAAGCTGACAATCTTTCAGCATTACTTAATCTAAGCTAAAAGCTAACATTATCTGTACTTTAAGTTTCAGCCAAGCTTCCTGGAAAACATATCTCACCTACCAAAATCAATATCAAGTAGTGCTGCATTTGCACCTTCTACCAAGATTTTCTTCGGTGGTCCATGTAGGGCCTCATACAGGAAATAAACCCCATCTCTCACCATTGGTTTAATTCTTTCCATATAACCCTGTACACAAAGACAAAAAAAACAACAACAATTTTCAATGGATGCTAACAGATATACAATATAACTAGTACAGGTAAATTACCCAGCTTTATTACAGCAAACACTGATGTGTGCAAACTGGAAAGGGGTTGGTGATGATCCCCACCCTATTGCAATATTTGGATTAATTTCGGTCTCTCATGCCGATTCAGTACCAGAAAAGACACGAGTTTAAGAAAAATATAGATATAAAGAAATCGAAAGGTTCTATATTAACCTCACTGCAAATACCCAGTGACCATGTATTTAAATTTCATAAGCTTGGTTTCAGACACATAAAAGTGACTATATTACACAGCATATTTAAATTTTATGAGATTTTAAAAATTTGTATTTATAACCCATGGGGTCATGAATTTTGAAATTTGTCTCACAATTATTTCCAAATTGAGGTGAAACCCACAGTAACACTGTTAAGCATGAAATATTCAACAATTGATTGTTAACATTGTTTTCACATTATTTGATTATATAGTAAAATATCTCAGCAGTATTATTAGACATCAAGTACTATTTTAAATGTTAGCATTAAAAAATTTTCTCACAATTATTTAAAGTACCAGCAATACCACTTAATGTTATAATTCAGCTAAAAACGTATAACCAAGATCTTCTCCCAATGCTCACAGTATAACTGCAACAAAAATCTAGTTTTAACTATGTTTAAATATGGAAATTTTACTATTACCTCATGAACCTGTGTTGTACACATTAATGAATGTATGGTTCCCTCTTGGCTCCATTCTCCCAACTCTTACATACTCCTTCTCTTCACACCGGAAATGACTATACTATTCATAATACCCAATATCCATACCTCAGCACATAAACATTTCCAAGTTGCTGATATTAAAGTATTAAGCAAAAATGAATGCACTGAAGGCCAAATATCTAGCATTTAAAATGTTCCTTCATGGTCATTTTATTAGTAATTTGCTAAGTAGCTAAACCTGAGATGTGGAATGGCAAGTTGAAGTTTGTAGACTTCTACTCAGTTCTAGGACTGGAAGTTGATATTTATAGGAGACTGTGGGAAATGGAAAGATAGGAAGGAGTCTTGACTCCTGACTAATTTACCTGATACAAATACCAAATAGCTGTCTCTGTGTATCTCCAAGGGCAATGGTGTGAAAAAGATTAACCCTATGGGATATCATTCCTAAATGGGCTAGTTAACTCTAAAGTTGTCTCTTACTATTCGTTTTCTGCTCTAGCCTCCACATTTTTATACAAATCTAGTTTTTCTTTCTGTACTGTATTATTCAAGGGCTTTTCATTATCTCCAGGGTAAATTTAAATTCCTTTTGATTGCACATAAGGCCTATGATCTGGTCTTCTCTAACTGAAGTTCAAATATGCATTCCTTTTTCCTGCCTCCATGCTTTTAGAGTTACTAAAGGGCAAATAATCCCCTTTACTAAGCAGTTCTTACCTCTAATACATAAAACATATTGGTTACGCACTTTTAATAGAATAAACCCAGACCCATTCCCGCAGAGTCAAATTTGGACTCAGGGGAGCCTGTAAGACAGAGGACAGCCAAGGCCCAAGTTCTTTTTCCTGTTGAGCACCTGGTGGCTTCCACCTGCCAACCTTTAAGTTAGCAGCCAAGTGCTTAAACACGGGGCCATCAGGGACCCCACTTTTCATATTATATTAACGACTCAACATGTATGTACTCCGCTACCAGGTAACTTACATAAAGACAGATACCACTGTTTTTCATTCTTATATTTTCAGTTCCTAACAAAAAACCAGATTGGATGAGAGAGCTAGACACCAATTTGGTAAATAAGTGTTTAAAAGGACATAATAAAAAAATATCAGAAAGTATTACCTGGAGTTTTTGTAATTCACCTTCAATGTCTATTTCCAAAGTGGGGTATATGGATTTGTATTGATTTGCCAGAACTTTGAACCTGAGAAATATAAAAAGTCAAGACATTAAAATAATCGTTCTGAGGGAGGAAAAAAAAAGACTCAGACTTCTATAAAAGATAAATAGTCTTAATAACAAATTAATCCTCAAACTGAATTAATGTTTGAGTGAGATGAGCCACTGAATAAACAGGACACCCTAATTTTTTTCTCAAATTTGGAAATAACAAATAATAAAGACCAGTTATGCAATTACGAGTATATTGCTGGAAGATAGTGATTAAAATTAGATTGAATTAGTAAAACAAATCTGAATTAATTATATGTTGTGTAGAAACAAAAAGAGAGTGCTACTTAACAATAGCCACTCGTCTCTAATGTTTTGAGTGGAAACAGACTGCTGGTGCAAATGAGCAGCTGACTGCAGATGGGCACGTCGTCATTCAAGCGATAGACTACCACTGGCAATTTTACACAACCAAGTAGCTCCACGTCACCGAGGCACTGCACGGCTTTCTTATTACTAGGTTTCCTATGGAGATTTTCCCACAGAGAGTCAACTTTTATGTGGCATTTCAAATTTTCAGGGTTCACTTGGTACAAGATAGCTCACCAGTAAGTAAAGCTACTTGTTTCTGGATGGGTGGACATAATTGAATCTAGGATCAAGATCCTAGAAAGCGGTGAACTCAAACTACTCTAATATTACACCCCTTACCCATGAGGCATTTATTCTCGCCATACCATCCAAACACCAATCTGGTGTTTGTCTGGTAAATCTGGTAAATCTGGTTTTGTCTCCTTGGAGTACTGCTATTGCAGCACCATTATGTGATTTTTCTTGAATTGAATCTAAAATTAAGGACCAATTGGATGTAATATAAATAACCTTAATAATTCAAATAAAAGAAAAAAACTCAACCACCATCATTTGACTGGAATATTGATTTTTCCCCCCTACAACTGCACCCTAGTTTTAAAAACAATCCATTTCCTTGATCAATTTTGAAACACAAATTAATTACCTCTCAGAGAAGCCCTCAAAGTCAGAGACAAGATCACACATCCTAAGTCCACTCCGAGCAGCTTTGGAAGAATATACTGGACCAATGCCTTTTTTTGTGGTACCCAAACTTAAAAACAAATCAAGACAAAACTTAAGTCAGACAAGAGAGATACAATTCTTAGTCAGATATTCACAAAGAACAAAGTGATATAAGACTTAGTTTCTGTTAACAATCCTTATTAATTTCCCCTGAAGTCTAACAGACATTCTGGTATTTCTTTCTCTTTTCTGTGTGGCCTAGAATTCTAGAATAAAGGCCTGGATGTACTTAACCTGCACGTCCCATCCCCCAATCATACTTTTTTCCTGCTTGTTCTTGTCTTTGTTGTTCCTGGATACCATCAGCTGCTTGATGAAAATCAAATACTGTGGGGGAAGAAAAATCCAAGAATCTTGTTGAAACAAAGTAACACAGGGAAAAGCAAAACGATTGCATTTTATATTACTAATCTGTAGTTATAAGCCTTTCCGTTTCATTTCATTATGAGAAATTAAAGGGGAAAACTTTTAAAAGCAGGGAGGTGAGGAATAGTTATCACTCCAATGAGGTGAAGGTGATGGCAACTGTAAACTAATAAAAAAATATGTCTACACATTTTAAACAGCCTTTAAGAAAGCCTTAACCTTAAAAATCTATGAAGCTCTATAAACATACTCGCTTTTATGAAACCTGTGGAAATTATTCAGAAATCTGAATAATTTTGATACTTCCTTCTTCACCAGTCCTAGGTTAACATCATCTCTCAGAGTTTTAGCTTCTTCCTACTCTTGGCCCCAGTCAACCCAAAGTAATGTTTCTAAATGATCAACAGGCTATATGCAGTCTCTCACCCTTAAAACTCGGCGACTTTTTATTGTTCAAAAGAAAAAGATAAGCACTTTAACATGCTCGGCCCTTTCTTCTTTCTCATTCTGTCACGTCTCTGCCTCTAGTCACCTTTTAACTAAAAGTATATACTGTTCCTTCTGCGTGGAATATGACTTATGATGTACATGCAAGTGTGCGCTCTCACTCACGCACGCACTCACTCAATTACTCACTACTACCAAGACTCCACCGCCCATGTCAGCTTAGCCCACTAATGTATTTCTTGTGCCTATCTTGAAGTACAATGCTATCTGTGATAGGTTATTATATACATGCTGAGTTAGTTAATTGTGCCAGCCTGGCCGATAATCACATGTGG